GTCTCCCGAGAAGCGTGTCTACAGCAGCGACAGTCATCGTTGCGCGTGATTATCTAGCCAACGCATACATCCGCGTAGACGCTTTGAGAATGCACATAAGACATTTCGCTTGGCTTCCACCTCATCACCTCGCCTCACTTCGAACTTCTAGGCTCCACTCAGCGTTCAGCCCAACTGTAGCTCATCATTGCGCAGTTCTTCCATTGCACTTCACGCATGCAGCACGGCCGCCGATACTATTATGGTGCCTACACCCACTCAAAGCCCTTCTTACAATTCCTGGCATCCAAAATGAGAAAATGTCGTCGCATCTAACCCTGAAACAGGCCACGTTACTCTTCCTGCAAGAGAAGCACAACGGACGCCTTCACATTTACACAGATGGCTTGGTGTCTTCAGTAAGCTCTGCATGGGTGGTGGTTATTCCCGCGAGGCAAATCACAATTAAATTCATGACATCGCATTGGACGTCACCGACAGCTGCAGAACTCGTCGCCATACGTGCAGCTCTGGAGTTAATAGTTGAAGAACCTTCGGGAACTTGGTCTATCTTCTCGGACTCGAAGCTCAATGTCTTACGTCACCCTTTAGACATGGGCCTAATGAACAGTTAGTGGCTGAAATGAGGATTCCTAATCACCAAGCAACTGAGAAACAGCACAGCATAGTGTATGAGTGGATACCAGGTCATTGCGGTATATATGGCAATGACCGCGCAGATGAGGCCGCTAGATCTGCAGACGACGGTACCCAATACACAGCCATCCCGTTCTCAAGAGCCGATGCAGCTACAAGACTTCGTTCGCTTGCGCATGACCTCGCAATGGTACAGTGGAGCTCAACAGACTTCACAAACGCGTGCCTGCGTAACTTGAATCCCGATCTGCAGCTTCGTCTTCCCCCAAGAATATCTTGAGCTGAGGAGACTCTTCTATGCCGCTTGTGGCTTGGAGAGGCCTTCACGAACGCAAGCTCTTATCTCATTGGAATGGACAGCTCTTCTACATGCACTTACTGCAGTTGCGAAGAAACTATCGCGCACCTTCTGTGCGAGTGCACCCATTTTAACGCGCAAAGACAAGAACTGACTGCAGCTCTGGATAGACTGAACGATCGGCCTTTGTCGGAACAAAGGATTCTAGGTCATTGGCTGAGCCCATCTTCAGCCCAGGAGGCTTTGAAAGCTTTGCTGCGCTTTTAGCGGACAACTGGCCTCAGAGACAGACTTTAGTGTCTTATACTCTTTGATGTTGCCTTTCCTCTGTCGCAATTTCTTTGTAATTTCTCTCTCTCTCTCTGTAAAATTTCTTTTTGACATCTTTTATTCCCCTCACCCCTTTTTCCAGCATAGGGTAGCCAGCCGGTTTGAGAACTGGCTAATCTCCTTGTCTTTCTGCTGAAACTGTCTTCCTCCTCCTCCTCCCGCATGGGCAATTTTAAGGCACGAGCATTAGAAATACCCGGCGTTAGTAGCGTTGAACCGACGAATGCAGAGAATAAATGTCTGGGTCCCAGCCCAAATTCAACCCAAAGATTCTGCGTGGCAATGAAGCATTTTACCCCAGAGCTACGCCTGGTCTCGGAACTTCTTGTCAAATAGACGCTAATCTCCGTGAAACGTTAAAGGGGGTTGCAGTACTGCCTATATAATTTTACAAACAGTACCTATGTACTCGTTTGATACAGCCGTAACGTCGTGTTAACGTCAATTGTGGTTAGTTCCCATGCGCTGAGGTTGATTTTTGTAGCAGTGTCCAGGGCCAGCATCCTCGCGAGCATCAGCTCTTCATATGAGCTTCTGGTGTTGCTAATACGCATCTTCCCGTTGACATAGTTGCGCAAGTGCAACGAACTGGTTATATAGGCATCTGCAGTTCTTCAACATATGTCTGTGCGTGTAGTATTTATTTATTTATTAATTTATATTCATATTTTTACCTACTGACAGTCCCAATGAAGTACTATTGCAGGCGGGCAAACAAAATACACAAGAAATTTATATACAACCAAATACACAACAGATACACTTACACTTACTTGCGAAAATGCGTGACTACAAATATGCTACGATGATACCTGAAGAGTATGAAAGCAAAACATATGTCCGGCAGATATACACGAAAATATTATACTACGTAATCCTCTGATAATACTGACATATTCAAAAAGTAACGAATAACTGTACAAGCGAGAAAAAAAGCATAGAAAAAAACAACATTACAGCTATGAGTATCACGATTGTGGTTTTAAAGTAACTTTTAAGAAGTATTCAAATCTTTAGTACTTTCAAGTAAAGTTAAGAAAGTATTCAAATCTTTAGTATTAGCCAGAAGAGTGGGTAATCTATTGCATTCTCTAATTGACTGTGGAAAAAGGAATACTTGAAGCAGTTGGTGCTGAAACGGCATTCTTGTAATGTTAGTGGATGTTTATGACGTCACTGTCTGGTTTCTGAAGTAGATATGAATTTCGACCTGTCGATGTCTTGCTCCGCCACAATGGTCTAGTGGCTAAGGTACTCGGCTGCTGACCCGCAGGTCGCGGGATCGAATCCCGGGGTCGGCGGCTGCATTTCCAATGGAGGCGGAAATGTTGTAGGCCCGTGTGCTCAGATTTGGGTGCACGTTAAAAAAACCCAGGGGGTCGAAATTTCCGAAGCCCTCCACTACGGTATCTCTCATAATCATATGGTAGTTTTGGGACGTTAAACCCCCCATATCAATCAAAGCTGTCGATGTATAGCTGCCTATGAAGAAGTCGTAAGAGCATTGTTAGGCATGCGAGTTTAGCGCGATTTCATTATGTTTGTAGCCCGGCTCTTGCGATCAGTTCAGAGGGTGAGTCGAGCAAACTATATTTATTATAGGTAAATATAACTGCATGCTTTTCTTTGTACTTCGCCTGGCTTTTTAATTATGTCATTTGTTGCCGGGAACAAGACAAAGTTGGTGTATGCATTCTAATAATGAACGGATTATGGTTTTGTGGGCCAAGAGTTCTGTTTGGGGTGGTGCGGAACATATCCGTCTTTTTAGGGAAATTAATCTTTTTAAGGCTGTAGATGTCACATAGTTAACATTCACCTCACATCTAACATCATTAGAAATCACTAGTCCTCGGCACTTATTCTGTTTTAGGGAAGTTAGCGGGGTGTCGTCAATATTATAATGAAAGTTTGATAGCGTTTGTTGATGTGATATTCTTAACAAAGCTGATTTTTTTACGTTTAGGGTCATCTGCCATTTCGTGCACCAATTAGATACTGATAAGAGGGCATTTCTAAGGGCAATATGTTACGAAGGAGAGGTAATTTCTTTAAAAATGATAGAACCGTCGGCGAAAAGCTTGATGTTCGTTCCAATGAACTGGGGCAAATTGTTAATACATATAAGAAATAGAATAGGGGCTAACCCGCTGCCCTGCGGAACACCTGATGTAACTTTTGATAGCTCTGATGTTTGTTAGTGTATTGTCACGAACTTCGTTCGCTCGGTCAGATATCGGCTAATCTATTTTGTGATTGTTCCTTTACCTATTGTCGCCTGCAGTTTATTATTACCTTTTGATGCAAAATCTGGTTGAATGCTTTGGAAAAGTCGAGTGAAATAAGGTCGACCTGCTTTTGATGGTCAATGGCCCATGACAGCTCATGTAATAATTCAGTGAGTTGCGTAACGGTAGATAGGCCTTTACGAAACCCGTGCTGAAATGTTGACAAAATGGGCTCTTTTTCAAGGTAAGTCGTGTTATGCTTAAGAATAATGTGCTCTAGTGTTTTGCAAGTAGTGCTTGTCAAGAATATTGGGCGATAATTGGTGACATCAACTTCACTACCTGATTTTGTACGTAACATTTGTACATATATTTAGCTTCATTTCACAAGTCCATCAATAAAAAAATTGCGACGCGCTCATCTTCCCTCCGCATGCTTCGCATAATGTCTATTTCCAGGTGCGGGGAATCTGCCGATTTCTTTTTTTTTTCGTGCTTTGTGCAAGTGTTGACACAATTTTCTTATTCAAACAGCGGGTACTGGCTGTATCCCTTTTGGTTCTCTGCATCGGCGTGTTTATGCGTTGTTTTTTTTTCTTTCCGACCATCGAGTCGATGCTTTTAAATGGTCTGCTTCTTTGAGAACCTTGAATGCAGAAGGACCACAAAAAAAAACTGCCTGAGCTTCTGTTTACTCAACCAGACTATGAAAAGAAGCTTGTCCTCCGAAACGTGGCAATATGATGACTTTTTACTCACAGTAAAATACGCAGTCAACCACGGAGTTTCTTTACTAAAATTTCTGGGAAAGGAATTTTGTAATAATATTGCCTTAATTCATTGCTACTGACATGCAGGGACTAAAGTTGTTCTTAAAGATATGGCATTCAGATAGACACGACCTTTCGTAACCATTCGAATACATAGTCAATATGTTTATTTATTATGAATATGTAATATTCATTACAATAATACGAGTAAAGATATGTAATACACAAAAATGTTCTTTAGTAAAGACTGTCAGGGAGAGCTCCTGTTGATGGTACATAAAAATTGAGAATAAGGTTTGGCAACTAATAAATGCATATCTTCATATTATGTACCTAAAAACAAAATACGCCCAAAAGGGAGAAAAGTGTGAGGCTATCCGAGCCGTGGTCATCAAATTTTTAGGTATTTTGGTGATTGAAAACGGGTTGCGACATTGTAGCCACTTTTCACATTGGATCAAACAAAAGTTTACTCGATGTATGTGGCTGTGTTATAACATGTCGTGTGGTCATACTGGCAGACAAGAGCAAATGCCATTAAGCTACACAGATCACCGATAATGTATTAGTTAACAATCCAAGCTTTTATGAAACCTGTTCAGAATCACTAATAAAAGGTAGGTAAACGTCCCGCATGCTTCTTTCACCCATGCATTATATTCTGTTGTCGTAAATAATGCAGCAATTATCAATTTGCTATTATTCTTCTGAATTTGAAATAAAGACTATGTCACTTACGTCAATGCCGTCATCTTCTGTGTAGTATAGTGATAAAAATTCTTCGGAAAAATTACTAGTTTCGACGACTGCCGCACTTGCATTTTTGTACAAAACGTATTGTTGGTGTGCAGGTCTGCAGGAAACAATGTTATCAGATCATTCAAGGTAAAACAGCCAATTTCATTTTTATTTACAAGCACGGTCATCGCCAAGTAATAAAAGCGCCTTTAATTTTGTGTGAATACTCACGGTTTAAAAATTCACGCCGTCTTTTCTGTTCGAAACTTAAGGCAGCTTCTATGATGAAATATAAAGGACACATCAACACAGGACACAGAAAAGAAGAAATAAACACGACAGTTAAGTTGATCTTGAGTTGCCAGTGCAGCGCCATGTGTCTCGCTTCTTTCTGGTATATTCTGTAATGAAGCGCTTTTTTATATTTTTATCAGGGAACCTCACCAACTCACTTAATCTGTTGTCTTCTTGTAAAGCGTGAAGCTTCCTATTAGTGGTGCCAAGAGGGAAGGTACTGCAGGGTTGGGCATCTTTATTTGTTTTTATTCGTCTTTCACTTTCTTTGCTCCTCTCTTTCTGTTAATTTTTTGCAACGTTTTCTGCTCTTTGTCTCAGGTATTTTAATTTTATTTTTTTGTTATTTTTACCATTTTTTTCTTTCTTTTGGTACACTAATAATGTAAAGTTTTATAAGTTTTCTTAACCCGCGTGCATGAACCTTTTTTCCTTGATCTCAGTAAAGCACGTGCCACTATATACCAAAATTTCGGTGGTCATGAGAGTGACTTCAGGCTTCCGATAGCATTGGGGTAGTGGGGGAGCTTACTTTAGTGATATAAGTGGAAGGGGGTAAACTACGTTTTACTTACAGCATCACTCGTTAGGGTAGCTACCGCAGAGTGATTACAGGAGAAACTTAGTAGTATAGCTAACTGATGATGTCGTAGCTATGCCAACAACCCTATCTATGTGCAACGGAGATCGAAATTTTCAAAACCACGGGGGCGCATGGTGAACTACCTATTGGAGTGCTTCACGAAGAGACAACACTGCTCAGTAATCTCATCACATGTGTCCATTAACAAAAAATGACTCAATGTACGTGGTTTCACCGCCACGGAGCGTTTGGAACCAAGGCGCTGTTAAGATTGAAACCTGAACCAAGGAGAAGGGAGTGTTCGCGGTTATGCGGACAGGTCATCGGAAGAATGTGGGCCTGCTGATAGCCGTCCAATTATGTGTATTGCCTTCTAAGCCGTGAAAGATGGCACCATGCAGTCGCTACGCCACAAAGTATACAGCGATATGACCGAAATAGTTTCGGTCGTGCCACCCTTCTTGCAGAAATGTGGGTGTCAGCATTGATGACAATCAGGCCTGCTAATTTAGCATGGCGTCTGGTGGTTCTTTTGATGAATCTAGTAGTACGAGCATGGTACCAAGCATCCAGCTACCTTTTGAACACAGGGAAAAGACACCTTGGTGCCGAAGGAGCGGTGGTAGGTGACGCCTTAGTCAAAGACGTTGATTGGGGGGGGGGGGCACCAAGTAAGTTACGTTCGACTTATGGTTGGACAGCAAAAACCTATTAAGGACCAGTGTAGCTTACAAGGTACAGCTCATTATTCGGAAATGGAAGGTAAATAACCCAATATTCTAAATTTTAATTGGAATTTTCGATGCCAAGGTTTGCAGCAAGGTAATGCTAACTTGAAATATTGACTCTGTATTATTTTTTCTGTTTTTTGAGTCAAATAACATTAAGAAAACGAGAGTTCGTCAAACGTACGTGTCTGTACTTTTATTCCAATTTGTTTCAGGTTTCCCAATTCACACGTTAAAAAATACGGACGGCTTGTGCTTCAGCAAAAGCAAAATATTCCCTGCGTAACGTTTTCAAAAGCTAATGAAACCCAATATAAATTTGCTCATGTTGTTGTTTGTTGCACTTAATTATATGTGCGAAGTCTCAATAAGGTCCTACCAGTAATTTTTTCGTGGTCTTTAAAAGGTTAAGGCAAATCCCCTATCTTAGATAAGGGGAAAAGGGACTCTTGATAACCAGTCTCAGTAGACTCCTGAGACAACCTTAGATGATATCCTCCTGACATCTCCGTATATATTATCGTCATGTTGTGAGACATGCTCCCTCGTAAATATTGTAAAATAAACCACTTTGCAGTTTTTGTATCAGTTCTGTTCATTCTCGGCGTATTCTGCCCGAGTCACCGGTGCCGGTAACGGCAAAGTCCCAACAACTCAGCCACTAGTGGCAGCGTTGGGATACTGTCAACCCCTGGTTTCAACAACTGGTGGCAGCAGTGAGATTATATCAGGCCCCGGTAACCACTTACTGGGTGGCAGCAGGGGCACGCTGCTGTCATTCGGAACTCAACAACTGGTGGTCTGCTGTTGAGATGCTCCTAATGACATGACACTGCATTTAAAGGTGGGCGTTTGGTTTTCGCATCGACATATGCCAGGCTTTTCAAATTCTTGGCTAACAGTTTGAATTCTATGAAAGTGATAAATATTCTGATGCCAAGTGCAGTTTTTCGAGCATCATTGAGAAAACAAAGCCAGCGTTTCAAAGCAGTGACCATGGACTTAGTGAAGTTGTGGAGGGCGAAATCGTTGATGTTCTCTGAGGAGTCGAACTTCAACAGGGATGAAGCTAAGAAAAGTGTGATCAATTCAAAGAAATAGACAAAAGTGGTAGCAGTGGGTAAAGCACAGAAGTCGCTTGTGAACTACCTCAGAAACTCTGAAGAAGCGAAAATTGAGACAGTTTGAAAAAGATAGGAAAGGGAAATCAGGTTAGAGCTCGAAGTTGAGAAACAGCGTTCCGCTGTTAATTAAAAAGTGAGTGACATCCTTTGAGAGCAAGTGAACGAGGACAAGAAATGTGCGAGTATGAGAGCGAAGGTGAACACCGAGTTCAGATGTTTGCGCCGAAGTGGGGCGAGACCATGATTGTTGGTCTGGTGGTTTATGCATTCTTCCAAGTAACGTGGCCAATGCATTTGCTCACTTTTCTAACGAGTACTTCGTAAAATACGAAGTCACTAAGGTAGCATTATTTAGGCGCTTCGGCATATCAGTTGAGAAAAGCGAAATTGAAAGTGAGATACAGGTAGAATTTTCTCTGGAGGTGAAGAACGGAAACGTCGTGAACTGCGAGAACTTCTCAAAGAAAGATGGGAACTTATTTGCAAGCGAGGAAGGGGATAGGATTGGGTGGCGAAGCAAATTGGTTTTGCGATTGTTGTAGTCTCCGTTCGATAAGGTCCACAGAGTGCGACCGCTGTGTGTGCGCCCGAAAAATGATTGAACAGTCACATGGTTTTGAGAAATGGTTGCAACGGGATTTGTTTGCTCTTTTTGAACTTCTGTTTTAATTGCTTATTTTGGTGTTGAAACGAAATTTTCTGTGGTATTTTTTGGGTACGAGATAGTGTTTAGGCGATCGCTTTCAGGTTCTTACTCTTTCCAAGCTGTTGCATGTTTTATTTTTTAAAAATAAGCGTTGTGCGGTTGCCTATTAACATGCACCGGAGTTTGTGTTTTTACGCCTTACAAGAAATTTGATAAGGGCAGCGCCGCAAGCTAATTTTCAATTATAGTGAAGAAATAAGTATTATCTTTGCGAGTTTTCCGGACTTCATGCATAATGTTTCTGTTCCTTATCACTCGTGTTCTCAGTGGACGTGAGAAGTCTACGACGTGAAAAGCTCAGAAGTATAATAGCGCATCTATTTTTGGAAATGGTAGGTTATTAGGACTAACGAGACGTACTTGTACACATGTAGATTAATCAGTTGTTTTTGTGTTGAGGTTTGACACTCATGTGATAACATAAGCCAGGACTGTAACATGTGAAAGTTCAGAGAAGCGGATGTACGTACGCCGCCGACGACGACGACGATGATGATGAAGATGGTGATGATTATGATGATGAAACCTCTGTACAGCTTTCCTCATCAGTTTTCTTCATGTTCGGCGTCTCCCGCCCGAGTACCCAATGCCAGTAACGCCAAATTCTCAAATACTCAACCACTAGTGGCCGCAATCGAATCTTGCAAACCTCAGATCCAACAGTGCAGGCACTGCACGCCCCAAGCACCCCAAGCACTACCACTACAAATGAGATATCTATGTCACGATATCATTGCTCGGTGCTTCCGCGGCGTCTGCGAAAATGACACCCCGCGATTTTTCTGGCGTTCTGGTGTGGGTGCATTTGAAGAGAGTGAAAGCGCAGACTGGTAAGTAGAAAAGTATGCACTTGTGCAGAGAGAAAACGCCGCGGTGCTTTTCACAACGCATTCCCATGGTCTCAAAAACATTATTCGGCACTCTGCGTTGTCCCACTGTCCGCGCGACTATTATAACTGAGCAGGCGGATAAAGAAGCATGTCGTGTACTCTATGATCTACACTTGACAGACCATAGTTCGAAGACTAGGTGGAGATGTGAAATAATCAGATATCAGAGACAGACTAGTATGAAATGAACTGACGTACTGCTAATCTTGCTAAACTATCTTACTAAAAATTTAGGGGGATGATGTTTATATTTTATATTCGGAAAAAATAAAGATAAAATACCGGTGGTTCTGAGCGCAGTTTTTTTTCAGTCTGTTCTATCTCTCTGTGTCTTGTTTTAGTAGCTATAACACGTCCGTGATATTGGCAGACATACGTAATGACATAATGCATGGTTCAACACAACGTATCTCTTACCATCGGTCTGTATTCTTGGCACGTCGAAGGGGCCCCTGTAAAAACAACAAATTGTATTTTGACGTTAGGGTGGAACCACTTCATTATACGAGATGTGTAACAAAAGTATCATATATATTATTTTCGCCAAGAACTGGAGGTGTTGAAACACAGCAATAACATCGGCCAACCGTGAAACTTCGTGTGTATGCGAGACATTTTCCCACCTGCAGACAGCGTCAGTCATGGTCCGGACAGGCTGCCACTGAAACCAGAACTTGGCAATGTTTAATGCTGGAGTCTTATCTAGTGAGGCGAGTATAACTGTGCTTTTCGAGGAGATAGAGTGTATTGATTAGGATGTAAAGGGGCTAAGTGAGGTGAAGAGGACAGATGAGGTCTATGCAGTGCTA